GAGAAGAAAGAAAAACAAGGGCATGTCAAGGCCTAAACCAAAGATGTATGTAAAATAATCTGAGCAGCTTGATTAGCCAGAGTGAGATTAGAAGTTGCATTATTGGCCTTTAAACATATGGTGTAGCATATTATGTATCACCTATAATCTCTAATAAAGCAGGAGTACAGACAGCTTGTTTTCCACTACCTGTAAATAGAAATTACTTTAATCTTTCCTAAAATGTTTACATGTAATTGGAGAAGTGTCTGATAACAAAAAAAGCTATAAAGTTCTATAAACTAGGATTACAAAACAAATCACACTCTAGTGTATTAAATTGATTAAAATGTAGATAGATTAATAATAATAAATTAAATTCCACTGTAAACAGGGAAAACAGGAGTCCTGAACACAACAGTTATATCTTACTTTATTTTTCCCGTTGCATACCTCCTAGGGTTTCTCTGTTGATAAACTTAGTAATTTGCTGCAAGATTTATATTTCCAGAAGCATATAACCTTATCTAAACTGCATAAAATTGGTGAGTATATATTGCCAGTGTACAGGCGTCTTTATGTGTTCTTGTCCTCTAGTTATGAACAGCTTACAAATATGACTCAGTTTATTCTCAGCTCTTTTTAATATCATAGAACCAGGAAGATTCAAAAGGTTATTCTGTATACACCTATACCTATTCTCGACACCTATACCAAAGTAGGAAGAGAAGGAATGCAGTAGTTTCATCTTTTAAAATAATTATTTCCTGCTGAAAAGCCCGATCCTGTACTATGTGTGGTTTCACACCTACATTTATTTTTGAAAGGAGGATCCTACAGAAAGGTTCTCCATTAAACGTCTAATTACACATCTTTCAATAAGCCAGAGAGACTTGTCTTATGGAACAGTTCCATTCTCAGATCTGTCACTTAAAATATGATGTGATTTTGGATTAATTACTTAAAGGTGGTGACTTGTTTCCTCTGTCTGTAAAAAGAAATGATTCCTACCTACCTTAAACCTGTTCTGAATATGACTAATATATGCGACTTTGTGACTCTCCTCAAAATCACTGGAAGCTAAAGGAAGGCATTGTTGTAATTTTCATTCTCAGTACCTGACTTTCAAAATAAAAGGAACTTGGAATAAAAATAGTGTGTCTTCGCTGGTTGTACTTGGTGACATTGGTCAACACTTCTTGAAAATATGTGTGCAGTTTTTCAAGGCTTCTGAAAAATGCAAAAGCTTATTGCAGATGCAGGCTGCCTATCCATTTGGCCATTAAGAATATGATTTTTATAGGTAACATGTAAAAATACACATTTGTCTGATTCCTATTATCGACTGGTTCACAGGAACAATAGATGAGTGTTTACCTGGCAAGCTTCTTTAGAGCTAAAGCTGAATTTTTAATGTATAACAAAAGAGTGGTGTTAAATGTACAGCTTTTGTCTCCACTGTTTCTCTATTAAATTGATCTGGAATAAACGCAGATGTTTTATTCTTCAAATAAGTTTTGTTTTCATTCTTGCATCCATGTTCATCTATCTAATTTCCAATATCAATGTTTTGATTCTGAGTCATAGCTTTTCTTTAATTTGTACATTCACATGCAGTAATAAAGCAATTTACAGTTGTCCTTGCCTGAAATGCCATTTAGATGTGTTAAAAATTTTTTGGTTAGATATCTGGTATTTTATTTTGTAGCATTTATAAGCTAATTAAAAAAAATGGGGGATGTTCTGCAACAAAAACACTAGTAACTTCAAAATATGATGGACCCTTCATCTGGGTCTATCATGGGGCCAACAGATTTATGTGTTCTTCAGCCACTGTCCCACCCATTGTGTTTTGTAGGATTGCATGCCAAGTCATCTTCATGGCAGAGCTAGGAGTTCAACGTCTTTGAGGATGCCATGCAACACATAGGTTGCAGTTATAAATCATGTTTCACTTTGTCATTTTAGTTTTTCATTAGAGGTTTAACCAAGAATTTTGGTGAGTTTATGGCCTGCTCAAAGGAGCAATCCTACCTCTTCACTGGGTCTCTACCTGAACTGATTCTAGATACATTAAGAGATTTCTATGAAAAAGAATCAGAGATTGACTCTCTGCTACATTTTTGTAAAATCAGATTGGAAATCTTGGAAAACACAGACATTAAATCAAAGAAATATACCTAATGCATATAATTGGCCATAAAATAGCAGGTTTCAGGTAGTCTTCCAACCCAGATAGCACAGTAGCACTATGCCAGTAAGAAATAAAGTACAGTCTGGTGTATCAATGAAGCCTGTGAAATGTACCAATTTATATTACCTAATGACAATTAGAGAAATCTCTTTGCTTAATGCATTCTGCTAATGTAAATTTCAAGCAGTTTTCAAAATGCCTAGTCCTTTATCTGTGGGAAAGATTATATGTATCAGATATGATACACACATATGTATCTTTGCATAAAATTGTTATAAAGGCAATATTATCTACAAAGATCTATTTTTACTAATGATCTTGTCTGCTAGTTTTTTTCATGCTTCTGTCTATCATCCTAAAAAACAGGTTTATTAGTTCTCTAGCTTATACAGTTGAACTGTTGAAAATTACAAGAAAAACAAATTTTGTCAGAAAAGGTGCTAGAGTACATGGCAAAGCAGATGTGTCTCCATTACATAAGAGCATGTACACAGTTAGGGAGATTCAGTGCAGATACTACAAGAGCTAAAAAAATATATACCTGGTGGTATACAGGGCAATCTGCATTTCAGACTGAGGAATAGAGGATTCTTGTGATACTATGAGTCTTGCTAAATGTCTTACAGGCTGGAGTCTTTAGCACAGAGTAAGAACAAATCAGTGCCAGTTACAGAGTTAGGTAGATTTTCATACAGTTTAGATCAAAACATTCATATTTTGGTACAAATTATAATAGTAAGCATGTAAGCGTTAGGAAAGTTCTTGCAGGGTTTAAAGGTTAAAGGTAATAGTTTAATTGCATAAGCGTCCATCTTCCTCTATGCCTTCTCATATCTGTGTGACCTGTGGTAGTTGAATAGCATCACTGAGATAAAATTGTTGCAAGAAGAAAAATTCAGATCTCAAGTAAACAAAGGAAATTCTTGGTGACTTCAGAGGGAATTGAATAGTGACTCTAGTCAGTGAATTTTATTCTTTGCTCGTGCATCCCAAACTTGTAAAAACCTGTTTGTCTTGTCTTTAGTGGTTACTAAATTTAAAATTTAAAGAAATTGCATAGATATGTAGTGTTTCCAATACTGCAAAACTAGATGTTACAAAGTGTAACAGCCAGAATTAATAATTTGAATTTTAGGTGTCTACTCAAAGTGAGTCTGCATTCCATGGAGAGAGACAGGTGCATTCACAGTGTGGGCTTAGTTCCATGTTAAAATAAATCCCTAAACTAAATCAGATACACTTTGCTCAGGATTTTTTTATTCTTTTGATAACGGAAGGAGTACAGGGATAGATGAGCTTAAATTCCTCCCCACAAGTTTCTGAGTGGAAATCTGGTTTGTCTTTTCCATTTGTATTTTAAAGTAAAGCCTTCAGTATTTTTATTCTTAAAATTCATTTGATGTTTGCCAAAAGATTATCAGAATTTTTAGTAAAGCCTGGTATGTTTACTTTCAGACTCTTAATTAGTTAGTGTTTTAAGACCATAGTTTATACTGTGATGAATTGTGTGAAAACTGGTATTCTGTGTAATATTATATGAGGTAATTTCTCCTAATAGTAAATTTCAGTGGACTTGTGTTTCTTTTTTCCTCTGTTTCATTTATACAAAGTCTTTCGGGATAGATTCAAGTAATAGAAACATTAGAAGAGTTTTTCCTCCTAAAATTGGCTCATGATTTAATTTATTAATAATAATAATATTATTTTTGCTGATTTACAGAAGACTGGAATGTCCCACAACATCTCACAAAGCAGTATTTATATGCCAGCTTGCTATTACATGCAGGAAAAACATTTGAATTGTGCTAGACAAGCGAGTGGCTGCTTTTTCATGGGTGGAAAGCCTGGCTTGCTGACAGCTTTTTGACCATGTCCTGGGTAGCTGGAGCCTCACATTGTGTGCCTGCCACAGTGATCCACACATACCCCAGGTTCTTTCACGGGACTTTTCTCTCCTACATACACAATGAAACATACTTGCTGTGTCTTTCCAACTCGCACATATGTTCCTGGGAACGTGTGTGTACGTAGGTGTTCACGCATTTGCTGACACTTGATCTCACTGTATAACAAGTGGAAAATAAAGCCATGTCCAAAACAGCACCTACCAAAAAATGCATTCTTAGAGTTAAGTGGGAAACTAATAATCTAATGCCAAGGCTTCCCAACTTTCAGTTTTCAGTTAGGAGTGCTGAGAACACGATTCTCTCTGCAGAGACCAGGTGACTGAGGTGGAAGTCCTTGCTGTGTACTCTGATATGTCCATGACGTTTTTATTCCTGTATAAATCAGACCTTCTGAAAAGACTAGCTGAGCAAGAAAGTTTGTCTTCTACTGAAGTGATGTATTATGCAAAAATTTTTTTAGGCTAAGTGTCTTTATTGTGGAAAACATTTACTTCTTAAAGATACATATTTTGCTGTCTGCCTTAATCATATCCTTTGAAACAGTCTCAATAGATTTTTCTATTCGTAACATTATGGCACTTGATAAGATGATTGATTATGAAGTGTTGAGAGCCCTGCCATGTGATCATTTATTTTTAAATACACATTTATACTAGCCAATGCTTAAATTTCTTGCAGGAGTACATAAGATATGTGAAACATAAAGCTTGAGCCTGATCGAAACTGATGCCTCTGGAAATAGAGTGCCACAGTACTGTGGCCTTAAAATAACAGATTCTGACTGAAACTGGAACTTTACAGTGATAAATACTATATGAAAAATTATGGTCCATCTTTGGTACAAAATAAAAAAGATGTATTGCTGTAGTGCAGGCAAAGTAAAATGTGTTTGACGATGATATCTCTCTTTCCCTGTGCAGGTGCCTGTGTCAGTGGCCATGATGACTCCCCAGGTGATCACCCCGCAGCAAATGCAGCAGATTCTCCAGCAGCAGGTGTTGTCTCCGCAGCAACTTCAAGCTCTTCTCCAGCAGCAGCAAGCAGTTATGTTGCAGCAGGTAATGTGTGTTACCTGCTTTGGACTGTTAGCACAGGGCATTACACAAATGTCAACCAGATTTTATGGGTCTTATTTTGTAATATTTCATTGCTCATTACACCAAAAAGAATGAAAATAAACATGAAACTTCTCAGTCTCCAAATTTTTATTTTCTTTTAATTGCAGAAGTATGAAATCGCACTTTGAAACATTCAATATTATATTAAAACCAGAAACAGCAGCAGTGGCAGATGGATTACAAATACCAAACAAATTGATGTTTAAATTTTCAAGCGCTTAGGCACATTTTAATTGTAGACCTGCCAAAGGAAGTGCAAATAGAGTTGCATATAATTGTTGCTTTAAAATTCATAACACTCTAGTGCTCCCTTTAGTCACATAAACGATATGCGGTTATGAAATTTGAACTTAAATGCTTGTTTCATCAAGGGAAAAGGTTTTTTATTTTGTTTTTTTACGTACTAAAAATTTGTCCCAAGATAAGGCTAAAAAGGAGGAGGAGTTTTCTGTTTCCTTAGCACAAAACCTGTCAGCTAATTGGAAAAGTAGGTGAACTTGTTATTCATACAATAATGATAGTGTCAGTGATCAGTGCCTTGGTGTAACACAGAGTGGATTTTTGGGTGCATGCTTAATTGTCATACGGAAAATGAGGTGTCTGTTTGTCATAGTCATAGCTCAGTCACTGAACTGTATGTTTAAACATTTTAATATCCAGTACCATGATCGTTACAGGCAATTCACCTTCAGTTGTGAATCCAGCATCCTGCTAAGCAGATTGACAGATTAATTACTTTTTTCCCCTCAGAAGCAGACAGTTTTGTTTGGCCTTAGTGACTTGTAGGTTTCTTGCAAGTGGATGAGTGCAGCTTCTGATTTGTTATATAGGACATGTAAGGAACTTAGGTATAGTTATTTGAGGAGTTAATTTGGCTCTTGCATTCCCTTTAGAATACAGATTTTCTATACCCTTCTGTTTAGGATATTTTGGAATCTGCATTGGAAAATTTCAGAACCGCCTTGGAAAAAAATGTATGTAGATCTGCCTCTTCAAATCACATTTTTTGTTATGAGGTGATACTTAATGGCTACGCTACCATATGCCAATCTAGAAGAGTTTAGGAGATTTATAATACTTGAAACTTTTGCCTTTATTTATTAAAGTCAAAATGGTTTATTCAGCAACAACTACAAGAGTTTTACAAGAGCAGTTACATCTTCAGCTTTTGCAGCAGCAGCAGCAACAGCAGCAGCAACAGCAACAACAGCAGCAACAACAACAACAGCAGCAGCAGCAGCAACAGCAACAGCAGCAGCAGCAGCAGCAGCAACAACAGCAGCAACAGCATCCAGGAAAGCAAGCAAAAGAGGTAGGAGCTAAGACCCTTGCTGATGCACACCAGTCTGAGCTGTCAGAAGCTTGGAAAAGACAAGATCAGTTTAGATCTTTTCCTATAGCAAGGATGCAGCTATTGAAGATTTGTTCTTATATTTTTACTGGGCTTAACAGCAGTGCTGGTATAATTCTCCTACTCCCCTTTCTGAGACGTAGGATTTGAGCAGTCTAGTCCTGCTGTCATCTAATGTTCACTAATGAATCTGAGTGTGCAAAGAACAAACTGTGTGGTGGACTCTGTACTGATTATCTTATATTCACAGGCAATCTGTGTTGGGGAAGGAGCCTTACTTTGCTCAGTGGCACAGCTCAGAGAGCATGCAAATTTAGTCCATGGCTGAAAAAGAGCGATTGAGCACAGATTTCAAAGTCATAGGCCCCTGATTAATGAACTGCTACTGTAGGTTTGAAGTGGCGAGTAGAAAGTTACAGTTTGATGTGCTCATAAATCAACCTGACAAGTGGGTTTCTCAGGCCTAGCTTGCACTTGTCAGCAAACTGCATCAAATATAAACAGAATACAAACAAAACATGTTGAAGTAGTTAAATTGATCAGCAGGTATCCTAGACGTTGTCTTCAAGCTGCCCATTATGCAAACGTCGAGGAAGCAGTTGTGACCTCCTGAGGCTTTGTTTCTGTTTGGATTTGTGAATAGAATTTCAGACAGCCATCAACTACAGAATAGAAATTGCTCCCTTATTTCTCCGGAGGCTCTGGGCAATCCACATGACTTGCTCCATTATGCAGTCTGTTTTCCAGTGAGCGCATCAGAAGTTTCTCTTTTCCCCAAACTAGAAAGGAAAGGTCTTCCACAGCAGCCTGTCTTTTTCTGAAGTGTGACTGCCTTCTTATACCCTCCTGAGTCTTTGTAGACTCAAGTTTGTCTTGAAATGCCTCACAAAGTTGGAACCTGTACTTTTGCTCTATAATAGGGCATTTCATTGCCTTGAATGCCATGCTCCTTGTAATATATTCCAACATGAAGAGAGTGAGCTAACAGGCCAGTGAAAGGAAGGCTACATCCCAGTTTACTAATAGATCACTGGAGACCCATGTTCATGGGCCACTGCAGACCAAACTTAGTCAATTGGAAAAACAAGAGTGCCTTCAAATCACAGGATGCTGTAAAAAGTTATACATTTAGCATAGATAAATTTGTTATCATCTGCCATGAGCTGAGCTTTTTGCTTATTTGAAACAGCTGTTATATACTTTTTCTTGACCCTTTTCTTTAGTGTGTCATTAAGTGCATCTTGCCATTTTCCCTAAAACCTAATAGCTTAAATGAATATAATAGAAAATTTCAAACACTTTCACTGCCTGAGTATTCTACAAATAGCATTATTATTTAATAACTGAGATTAAAAAGGAAGAAGTTGATTTTATGTTTTTGGCTTTCTAGCCTTTACTGCACACTTTACTTTTTGCTGCATTTGCTTTTTTCTTTTTTTTCCCCCTATTCTCTTTGTAGCAGCAGCAGCAGCAGCAGCAGCAGTTGGCAGCCCAGCAGCTTGTCTTCCAGCAGCAGCTCCTCCAGATGCAACAACTTCAGCAGCAGCAGCATCTGCTGAACCTTCAGCGTCAGGGACTCATTTCCATCCCACCTGGCCAGTCTGCTCTTCCTGTCCAGTCTCTGCCACAAGGTATTTCAGTAATATATGATTGGAGAAATTGCTAAATTCTCAACTTTTTAACTATTCCATTTGCATCTGAACTTCAGAAGTTTCCCATTATGGCCCTTAAACGTACTTTGTAATTGAAACTTTACTATTCATGTTACCAAATTTTCTGGACACATAAATTTTACAGCATACTCTTTTGGAAAAATAAAGGCAGCTTTTTAGTGTTTTATCCTAGATGGAAGGTGCATATTGATTGAGCTTACGTGCTGAAAACAATTTCTAATAGCAGCACAATTCAAGCATCATTGCTTTTCTCTGAGGAATAACTGAAATCTGATTTAGTGGAATGTTATTTCATTTAATATAAACAAACAGGTATAAAATACATCCGATAGTGATATTAAAGCCATTTAAAAGCTCTCTTTTCTTTTTCTTCTAAGAAAATAAAGTGTTTGGCATTGAAAAACACTTCGAATCTTCAATTTATGAAAAGTGAATTTAAGGACAAGCCTTAGGATTTATTTTATTTTCTATTCCTTTGTATTAAATAGGTTAAATAGAATAACAAGTTCTGATGGTGATGATTCCAATAGTAATGAACTGTGACTAGCAAATAGCTGTAAAGACTTTTTGAAAAAAAATCCTTTTGTCACTTTGATCAGTATTTCTCAATGATGAAAATGAGCTCAAACTCTACTACTTGAAAGAAAATTAGGCACACACTCTTGAAATGTAAATTAACATGGAGATAAATGCTGCTTACATTTTAAGATGAGGTCAAAGTCTTCCCATCTAGGAGACTGTCTATAACCTGTGAGGTATGTGTTTCTATTTGTTTTACCATAAAGAGTTGAGCTAAGTGTCTGTCATAAAAGTTATACAATAATCTGATCTCTGATACCTCAGTCCTGAAATGAGCATTGTTCAGACTATACTCATGACAGGTAACATTATTTTTAATTGATCTTTATGCAAGTAACTTGTTCCACCACTAGATAACTATTATGAAATCAAAGTCTCAGAAATTAGATGAACAAAAGCAGAGTACACAGTATATAGACAATGATCTAAAAAACCCCCACAACCCCAAACGAAACAAAAAAATAAATCAAAACTACCAGGAAATCAGAGATTACAAATAAATGCATTAATTGCATTGTGTAAAAAAGTTGTGTAAAAAAGCTATGACACAAGCATGTCTAAAAGTTATAAAAGTTACAATGAATGCAAGTCGTACTACACCAAATAGAACAGCAGTGGAGAGACAAGCTGATCCATAAATCTGGAGATGAGAGACCTGTAATGCTGACTTCTTTTGTGTCATTGGTTTGGACCAGAATCAAAAAAAGCATGACACACAGCTTCCCTCTAAACTGCTTTACCTTTTGCATTCTCCTCTTATGCCATCTGTTGCTAGAGGAATTCCTCAGGTTTTCTCTCACATTAAGCTATCCCCATCGATTTCCCTCAGCACTCCTACCCAATTGCATTGATATTCATTATTTTAATGCAACACTCATTCATTTACTTCTAGTACAAAAAGAGAGAAAGAAAACCTTTTTAATAGGTCTTAGGAGTAAACAGTTCTTTTTAAGACCTTTATTTTACTCAAAGAGTAAGTCCAACTGTATACTTGTAAAAAAGGATTGATAATAAATAAGAAATGAGAAAAATTCACAGTTAATATATATATTGACTGTTATTTTTGAAGTAAAGTTATCTCTTGTTTTTGCCTTGATGTTTTTTCATAATAATGAATTTCATACAAGTATTTATTTATTTTATTTTTAAATTAAACCTTCAGAATTGAATTAAGGTAATAGACACTAGATGTGGTAAAAGTATGGTTTTCTGCTTCTACTGTTCTGTGAGAGATGTAGGATAGTTATGCAGAAAGATTTACATGTCTAAAAGTATTTTATGTGCATCCATCCAGTTTGCTCAGTTACATGGGTGGCTAGAAAATAGGACAAGGGATTTCTGTTTAAAAGTTATTGGTCATAAAGAGTACTGTAAACCACAAATTATTATTGGCAAAAGGGTTTATATTTGATAGTGTGAAAAGATATATCTTACAAGTACAGCTGTGAGGTTTGCATATATAAACAGTATTTTCTTCAAGTATAGCTTCTGCCTTTGAAAAACAGGAATATTTCCCATGTTTTCTTGATGGTCAGGTATCACAAGATGTAATAGGTGTTTTAGCATCTATTTTGTGACCAGGTCTTCACTGTGCTGTATCCAAAACCAGTGATTTTCTGTGAGTTACTTCCATGTATTGCTGCATTGATGCTAGTTAAATGCAAAGAACTGTAAATCACAGCAGTAAAAAAACCCAAACAAAATAAACAAACAAACAAAAAAACCACCAAAACCCCATGTCTTGATTGGTCCATGTTGGAAAAGGAAAAACAGTTGCGCGGATTGTTTTTTTAATTGTTGTTTTTATTAAATATTCATTGAAACATAAAAATAGAGTAGATAGAGGTTAAAAGAGGCATGAAAGTAATACTAAAATCCCCAAATTCTTGGTGCTTGTAAGTTTCATGGGAAATCAGTATTTGGCCTTTTTATTATAGTCCATAATTTTTATTCCACTCTTGGTCCTCTTTTTGATCCTTTCCCCTTTAATATATTGTGGGGAGGATATTTTCAGGGTTGCCACAGCCTATGAAACTTTAAAACTTACCCTGTTTTTACATCCAGACTGAAATGTCTGTCAGCCATTTCACAAGCTTCTAGTAAAAAAAGGAGTTGGACTTTTTTTGACACAGAAACCACAGAATTGCCATAATTTACAATTAATTACAAATCCGCTTGTTAACTTTTTGCTTTTTAAGTGCCTGCCCGTAATCCTTTTATCCTAAAAGGCAGCCTTGCAGGGTCCTCTGAAGAAGTGATAAAATTAACCAGCCCGAGCCTAGAGAGAAATTTCCTTCTGCTTTAAAACCAGCCCTAGGTGAGGTGGGCAGCCTGGAGGCACAGCTGCATGTGCAGCAGAAGGGGCTGCCCAGCAGATGCCCAGATGGGCAGGACATCCCTCCCATGGGAGCGAGCACTGCTGCAGCTGCTCCCAGCCCTCCTGCATCCCCTCGGCTCGTGGGGCAGCTCACACGGGACCCAGCGTTTGATCATCTCAAATTAAATTCCTCTCACTAGAAGACACGATATCTGATTACCTAAACTGATAGTTTTATTCTTGGGTTTGTTTTTTTATTGATACAGTTAGTTTATTTTTTTCAACAGTGGGAGGAAGACTTTGAAGTAAATAATGTACTTTGTATATCATGCCACCTAAATGAACACATTATTTCATTTTTATTTGTGATTACATTTACAGGTAACTGTTATTTACAACACTATAAGTGGGTTTTTTTCAGTGTTGCTGGAACATACCTCATGAACTCAGCAGTAATTACTTACCTTCATTAAACAATTACAGCCAGTATTACCATCACTCCTGTTACCCATCTCTCTAATGCAGTAAATTAGAGCCTGGCTTCTTTGCTTGCTTCCTTAAAACCTAGATTTTTGCTATATAAATATGATATAAACTCCAATTTTAGGACTTGCAATCAACTCTTTTTCACTTTTTCCTTAGCTGAGTTTGCCAATAGGGGTTGGTATCTAAGGTAAAGAAGCAGGCCTCAAAGCAGTAGTCCAAAAATGAGCTGCTTTCATAATTTAAAAAAAAAAAAACAAAACCAAACCAATACCTCCACCCATTTTATTTCCATACTTCTTCCAGAAATTAATATTTCTGTAAATAACTATTAATCTACTTTTAATAGCTTTGAATACTTCATGGTAAGATAGCTACTGAGAAGTGTTGAGTATTTTTCATAATTTCTTGTTGAATCTCTTTTAGTGTCTGAGTTTATATGTTTTCAAAATAAAGCATTATCTAATAGATTGGCCAAACAGTAAAAAAACTGTCTTTTCATCTTTCTACCGTATCTTATTAACCAAAAAAAAAAAAAAAAAGAAAAAAGCTCAATGAAAATTTTGAATTAACAGATGCTTTCTAGAGCTCTTTCATTAAAATAAATAAATAAATAAATAAATAAATAAAGAAGCACAATATTTTGATTCAAACAGCATCAATACGTTGAATATTTTGCATTCCAGCAGATCAAGATACCATGACCATATGTTACCTAATTTTGGTTGTTGAGATGAAATACAGAAGACAGATTTTTAAATACCTCTGGAACTAACCATGTCAGGCTGAAGAACCTGGCATTGAAGTCACAAGATCTCTGTGCTTCACATTCTTTTCTGCATTTAATCTAGTATTCTTCAAAAGTGATATGTCAAACTTGCAAGGTCTGGCAGTGACAGAAGGTGTATATATTTCTGATGAACTCTTCATCTTTCAAAATCTGGTTTCCTATCTTAGCTGCATGTTCAGTGGGAAGATAAAAGAATTCTCACAGCCCTTCTCTTGCCTGTGTTTTGTAGTCCTTACTTCAGGCAGAAGCATACTGTACTGTAGGTTTCCATGACTTCATGCAAACTTCAGCCAGGCAACCCTAACACATATGTATGAATACATTCAACAAGACATTGCTTTTTGTGACCTAAGATAAATCCTGGAAACTACAAGTTTCCAGACTGTGAGAGGAATAGAGAGCAAGTTTAAGCTCTTTTTTGTTTTATGTTTATGAATTTATGGATTTATGAATTTATGAATTTATGTTTTACTACATGTTGATTGTGCTGGTAAAACAGCATCAGCTTTATTGTTGGCATTAATCCATTAATAACACTGAGCTCATTATATGAAACTCTTTATTTTGTTATATTAGTGGGGCTCTCTTTCATTTTATAGCCGGCTTAAGTCCTGCTGAGATTCAGCAGTTATGGAAAGAAGTGACTGGAGTTCACAGTATGGAAGACAATGGCATTAAACATGGAGGGCTAGACCTCACTACTAACAATTCCTCCTCTACTACCTCCTCCACCACTTCCAAAGCATCACCACCAATAACTCATCATTCCATAGTGAATGGACAGTCTTCAGTTCTAAATGCAAGGCGAGACAGGTAATTCTGATGAGATTTCCACTGTGCTTGTCATTTGACGTGAAGCGGTTGTGTAACATCTTAAGTCACGTGATTTCCAATAAAAAAACAGCACTTAATAGTGGTTACTTAAGAGATCATGGAAGGGATGATTTTCCAGAATTGTTTATCAATAGGGCATAATTTTATGATGTCTGATTGTGCAGACACAACGAAATTACCTGCATGTGCTTTTATATCTCATAAACTTATGGGTAAAAATTAGAAATCACAGAGTCAAGTGGGCTGGTGCAGGGGTGTAAATGCACATTTATGGGCACTTTTCTAGGTGCATAGTTTCATCCATGTTTAACACACCTGGCAGTCAGGCCCTTACTCTTGAATCACACTTCTGGTTTCATTGACAAAGTACATCTATATGAGTTATCAAGGCTGTAATTCAGTGCAACGGTTCTATGTTAAAAGTGCTTCAAAACACTGTATAAAAGCAGCTCTTATGTTGTTTTATTCTTGTGAAAAGAACCACTAAATTTTCTGTCTTTTATGCATGACAGTAATGAAGTTGACATACTTCATACAAATTTTCAATATTATTCGTGTAATACAGTGGAATTCTACTATATGGATGAAGTTAAAAACACTTTTCAGACACATTGACAGATATTATTTACTGTTCCTTAATTTCAAGTAATGGAATAAATACAAGAGTATGTAGTATCTGAAACACTTACCAGTAAATAAATAATACCAATAAACTAATGTTTAGTGAGATATAGATCATCTCAATATAAGATGAAATTTAACTGTATCTATATAACCTAAATGGCAAGTAATTTTATTTTCAAATAAATTTCCCATTTAATTATTTTAATACTTATGAGACTGATTTAAGTGTCATTATTTTATATTATTTAAAAATCTGAACACCTTTATAATACTGTTTTTACTAAGTATTACCTTTGTAGTTCTATCTCGCAGAATGGTTCTTGGCTTCAGGATGTCAGCCACATCCACGGAATAACTCCCTGAATTTCTTTGATAACTCATCATGGATAAAACAATTTCAGGAGTTCCAGAAAAAGGCATGGAATACAGCTAGGGATTTTAATGAAGCCACATAGTTCATGAAAGCAATATTTATGAATAAAAATATTTTTTTAATGGAAGCAACTTTATTTTTATACACATTGAGCAGAAAATTCAAATGTTTTTTGAACTTTCACAATATTCAGAATGTCTGACTGTCAGTCTTCAATATTTATACTCAGAATTGATCAGTTCTGAGTGTATTTTTTATTTATAGGTAAATGTTACACCAAGGTCATATGGCATAATTAGCATATGGTATTATACAGTCATCTTATTTTTTCATCCTTTATTAACAGTCATCTTTGGCTCTATTTCTTCTCTAATTGGAACATCATCTAGCCTTGGCAGTTGAACTATTCAATAGAACGATTAAATTTTTCTGACTGCTCTGAGCTAAATTGACCTGTTTTGACCTGTTTGTCACTGATCGTAACCTGACAGGCGCTAGCAGCCTCCAACGATTATGGCTTTTGAGATGAATCTGATGCCTTATTCTTTTGCTACAGCTCGTCACATGAGGAGACTGGGGCCTCCCATACTCTCTATGGTCATGGAGTTTGCAAATGGCCTGGCTGTGAAAGCGTTTGTGAAGATTTTGGACAATTTTTAAAGTAGGTGGATTTTTATTCATTGGTACAAAATTGTTCAAGGCAAGGGAAAGTGAAAGACGGCAAACAAAGTTTTACTGTAAACCATATCAGAGATTTTTTTTGTGTGTATTTCAAGCAACTGGATAATCGAGGCTATCGGCAGAGGGTCAAATTGTTATCCTTTCTTTCATGTTGAACACTTTTGCAGGCCTTTCAATAGCACAGTGTTTAATCCTCTTATTATCCTTTACTGAAATGGAGCCTCAGAAAATTTGAAGAGATGCTTTAGATTTTATATTGGATAGTAGGAGTATGAAAAAGCACATTTTAAATTCTGACAGTTTGTGTGAAGTGGGAATTACTGTGTATAGTATAAATAAAAAAGTACAAAGGCCTAAGCATGGCCATTTAACTCTCACATGCTAATCTATTTTTGCTTTTATTCTTGCGTTTGCACAAGATACATAGGAAAAAACCCACAGCGTACAGGTGGGTTTGCACCTTTCAGGACTGAAAAGTGATGTCATTGCTTTTTTAGCATTCGGTTTAGCTGGCTATTTCCTATTTCAGAGCATTTAGGAAATAAGTGACCCAGCTTTTCCTTTTCATCTGCAGCTTCAAACTGCAATGGGTTTCTGCAATTTTTCCTTTTTATTTATTTCAAGGTATTTACTAATATTTCTGCCTTCATTTGAATTTTCAACAACAGCACTGATTTGCTACCTATGTACGTTACGGACTGGTCTTTGTTAGAAGAGCCATACTCATTTGGCATGCAATAGATCTTAATGGAAAGCTACAGATAGGCTTATATAGATGAGTAACTTCAGGGACTGAGACTCTTATGTTGTCATGGTGCAGCTAACAGGGTGAATGAACTGTTTCATGCTTCATCAACAATTAAGTTAATTAGCTCATTTGAAATTGCACTGCTTTGTTGCCAGGATGTTGGCAGAAACATCAAAAAGATGTGTTTACAAATGGCAAACTACGGGGTATATAACAGAAGCACCTTAACAGCAGACCATAACCGCTCAGTATTACAATAACTTTTATAATAGAATTATAGCAATACTATTCATAAAGTATTTGCACTGCTTTCTCCGTCTTTCAGTTTTAAATTAAGTAACTTACACTGACTTGCAAATTGTATGTAGGTATCACTCCTGACAAATTTTTGTTTATTAGTGCATTAAGTGGATTGTCAAAACAATGGCTTGTTATTATAGAAAACTGTATAGGATTTAAAAGAACATGATTTACATAAGTTTGTATTAAAAGGAAAATGAAATCTCCCAAATTCAATGTAGTGTTCTAAGTATTATTAATAATAAGAATTTAAACTCATTTAGCTGAAGCATTTTCCTTTTCAAGAAAAACTACGTTTCCTGAATACATCCATCCATCTAGCCTATAGTGATGCTAATTCTTTGGGCAGACTTTGCACATCCATTATGTCAGGTCGCTTGTTATAATCCATGATCAGTAAAACCATTTTGATTAAGGCAGTGTAGTGCCAGGTTTACAGATGCTCTTGCTTTCCTGAACCAAATAACCCTGGAAAATGTGAAAGTGACACATAACGTCTTGATAATTCTGGTGCAGAAGCAATCAGGGTTTACAGCAGTGTCGTGGCTTTTTGTCCTGTACATCAGCAGAAGCTGTCTGAGAATATTTTGTTATTTCTGCTTTTCATTCAAGTCTATTTACTGTGCCCTTAAAACAAATAAGAAGTCATGATGCTGAATAGGAGAGTTTGTTTCTCAAATAGAAATTTTCCTTCATTTTTCACTAGTGTTAAGATGGAAATCAATACACAACCTTGCATTAGATTTTTTAGTACCTTTTCATGTTCACGCTAATGCAAAATCTCCATTACAATTAAAAAACATTTTCTTTCAATTAAATATCAACTTTTAGTCCAAAGATTGACCATTTTTCCAACCCATTAACTTTATAGGGGATGACAGGAGTAATGGCTGTAGTTTTCAAGGCTTTGCTCTTAGTCTAATCTTTGTTGCGATGTTTCAGGTTCTCTGACTTGAAACAATATGATACCTGTGTTAAGAGAGTTAATGCAAGTATATTGTACCAAAATGAAATATTAATAAGGTACTCTATCCCAATCTAGTAGTCTGTATTTCTGTAATATGCTTATGACAACTTTGAAGAGTGTCTGGTTTATGAAGTGAGCTGCAACTTCTGCTCAGAAAATGGTTTACCTAGCAGCTTGATCTAAAAAAAGGAAAACAAGCAGAGGCTCCAAGAAAGAGGATTAGGACAGAAAACACCAGCTTGGCTTCACTTGGCTAGTCAGGGAAATATTTAGGGTGACGTGACAAATAACTTTCAATAAATACTTAAATCTACAAAAGCCATTTTCACCATCTTTTTTTTTTTTTTTTTTTTTTCCAA